AAAAAATTAACTATGACTCAGCATATTATTTGCTACCTTTTCTGAGAATTAGCCGTGAGGTTAGTTTATGCCAACCCCAGAATACTGCACTTTAGATACTCCTACAATATGAATTTTTTTTCATTCGTTGCTTCTTCGAATTCCAATTTCATTCCTTGATGGACGCAAAAGTGCTACATTTCGTATAAGTTAAGTGAGTAAACTAAATTCCCTTCACCAAATGATTAACTATTTTAAATTTGTCATATTTCCAGTATACAAGTCAATCAACAATTCAACTGCTAAATAGATTGGTGCAATATATTTAAGATAAACTGATAATTAATTACTTGTCGAATCGACTTTTTACTCTACTTAAAACACATCTCTATGTAAACACATTTCTGACCTAGTTATTCTACTTAAATATTGACTATAAGACGTTTCGGTAAAGTTAAAGCGTAGTATTTCAAGGTAATGAACGTCCTGATCAATATGAAGCGACCAATCAGAGTTGAGATTGGGTATTAAGGCAGTTATATTGGCTAAGTTCAGATTAATATTATTAGTAAGTGTTGTTAACGTTTCAGAATACAGATAAAAATAGACACTTAAACCCCAGATGTTACCTCACAGGATATAATCTGTAACCATTTAGATACTTTTTATATGTAGGATGAAGTTCATCTTTTCTGCTGAAAATACAGTGAGAAACTAGGGGTTACCATCGTAACCTGTTAAAGAATTGTTTCCTGTTTAGAGTGCATACATTTTTCTAAACACTTAAATATGCCTTTACATATGACTTTACGAATAATAATAATGATAACTAGCGGTCCTTCATCACTGTTACTTCGATCACTATATCCTCTCTTTTAAGTGTATTAAGTTTACCTTTGTGCGTCGGTGGTAAGCGGTTAGGACGCTTGCCGACCATACAGATGGTCCGGGGTTCAATCCCCGACCAACGCACTCCTTTACCTCGCTAAACCAGAAATAAATCTGGTAAAGAGAGAAGGTTGGACATGAGGCTAGCAAACCCATCCTGTAAAATCAAACACCACTGCTACAGAAACTTCAAGCCACTAGCTTGAAGCTCTATGTTCCACTGGGGAACGTGAAGGAAAAAAAAGTTTACCTTACTTCTGCTTCATAAAAAACAAGAATCAGCATTATTTCTTCGCTAAATTTCTGAATACTACTCATCATTAAATGATAAACACAAATACTTCTTCGGTCATACTGTTTTCAAAGGTGTTTGTTTATTCGTGAGAACTTACTGATAACCATCTGCTCACCAGATGCTTGTTGTTTGTTTGTAATCTCCATCAATATACATATAAATATATCAAGACTGTCTTTCAGATTTCATTTTCCATTAAAAACAAAGTTTTGAAATTATGAAAATTTAAATTCGAAATCATAAACAATTTCTTGTTTTCATTCTCCTCATTGACAATTGTACATCCTTATTTTGCATGTCCAAAGTATCAAAATGACTGCCTTCTAGACTGCAGTGTTTTTCAGGAGGCTTCAATGAATTTCTTCAGGCTGATAAAGTATACGCCTTAGAGTATTTGCAAAAACTGAAATTTCACTTACAAAATTTATTTTCCTTCGGGTAATTTTTCCTTCCTTCCATGAACTTTGTATCCAATTCAAATATTAATATCCAAATTTGAAGCTATTCACAACGAATGACCATTCAGTGCATACTTTTAAAAACTTCAGATGTAATGTAAACGTTCCCATATTGGAATAATTTTACGTGATAAAGCACATAGTGGTGCTGTATTATGTACTAATGGTGTTTTCAGCAAACCCTGTTGTTCATATTCATACCGAGGAACTTGCAGAACTCCCAAACTTTATTTATACTGTTCCAATATTTCCTATCGTTTTTTCACATATCTGGAATTGGTTTTACTTCATTTATACTGCACCTCTACGGTGTAGAATCGATTAACAATGACACAGAGATCAACTTCTGCCTCCACTAACCTATATTACTTTTTTTGAACTGAATTTCTGTCCTGCTCTGTTTTATGCTATGGCATGCGTGGAAGATGGTGAGTTTCTCTTTAAGCTCATCATCTTCCTGGCGTCAATTGTTCTACATGTAGCTAAATTTCTGAGTGCCTCATATCTACAGGCCTGACCTATGTGGTTGACCTCGCAGTCATGGATCTTTCACTACGGAAGAACTGTAGTGGATATTCTGATTTCACACTAGTAACTAGTGTGATGCGTCTAGTCCTCTCTTTGGTGCAGACTGAATTCTATCAGTCAGGTTGTAATGTGACCACCATTCTAGGTAGCTCGCCATCACGGTGTATATTGTTTGTGATGATAGCACGAAACCTAGGTCCAAGGCTTCCTGCCGATTGCCTCCAACCATCTCATATCATCACAAACAATGCACACCGTGATGGCGAGCTACCTAGAATGGTGGCCACATTGCAAACCTGACTGATAGAATTCAGTCTGCACCAAAGAGAGGACTAGACGCATCACACTAGTTACTAGTGTCAAATCAGTATATTCAATTTTTTTGTACACTTGGTTCGGTATTGTGCTTTAGCCTACAGGGCTTAGGAAACTATTATTTTATTCTAGTGTAAGTCTGATTATATTTTTCACACTTCTGTAGATATTAGTCGCAGAACTTTCAGATCTTCTAACTGAAACCCAACCTCTTGGTCTCCTAACTGAAACCAGTTGTCAATTTTCTTTTAATAATTCTGAAAGTCTTCAATGTCTCAAGTAATCTGGTAAATGTGAAGCCATTTTGAAAAACAGTTGCTGTTGCAGTTCTTCAATCCACCTGAACTGAATTTAACGTGTTGGATTGCAGTGCTTTGATCAATTTCAGGATTTTGTCGTGAAATGAAATCTGTTAGAGAATCATTACAAAACCTAGGAGTACTGGACAACTGTTTTGTCTTAGTTTGGGACTCTTCGTCAGTGAAATGAATTTCACTTACCTTAAAGATATAACTGTACACAGTGGTTTGAACTTTCGGAGATTATCACAGATATGAACATTTAGAAAAAGTATTATTACTTGTCATCTATTGTCTAGGCTTAATTATGTTATAAAAGATACAAATACATAATTTATCACCTTATCAGTCCAATCCGCTGGTGGACCAATAGAAAGCATGAAACAGTGGACAGCTGCCTTTTTCTGTAATACAACTTCTCAGCAATACGCATCCAAAACTGCGCAGAGAGTTGAACCTAGTGCTTTAAGGTCAACATATATGAACGTTATTATTCGATCTTTGAGACGTGCATGAATTCTAACTTGTTTTACTTAGCAATATCGAGCCACCATCATCTTATATCATGGTTCAGTAACTATTCTCACACCTGGCATTATAGATCCCAGTAGTAATGACCATATTTCAGCCTCACGAAGTTTACCTCACAGTTAGCTACTAATGTGCTATGTATCATTTTTCTCAAATATTGGCTATTAGGGTTGCTGATGAAATCTACTTTAAAATTCCGTTTCTTGTGCTTTCATGTGACTGGTAACCACGATTTTCAACAAGACATTTAAATTTAAATCAATATTTTTATTGTTGCTACTCATTAATTGTGTTCCAGGTGAAATGCAACACTTCACCAAAACATCTCCAGTACACACGATTCTCTGCCATCACTATGATCTTCCTCATCTCCTACCCACAAGCCTTCATATTCTATTCACTTGGTCTTCTTCATATCGCCTGTCGGTTTAACTCGAAGGCCTGGCATCTGATATCACCTAAACGTCTCATCAAACTGTGCTTTAGCCACCCCCAATTTTCTTCCGCATATTTGTTGGACGACTGGTTCTTGGTTGATTCGTTACCACAGTTGCAGACTGGCAACCTTCTTGGATCACTGGGTTACTTAAACTTCCTAACAACATAACGTATTGGGATTTCGCTATTTTTTACCTTTTAATCATTCAGTTATGTCTATGGGTCAAAAAATCAACTCGCGTACATCTTTAACTGACTTCTAACCTAGCGTTTTTCACTTCTCTGAGACGAAGGAAAAATATCATAACGGATTAGTTTTAATGCTACAGATTGCACGGCAGTGCCTCAAGTGATGTACTGTGGATCAGTATTTTTACTTGAAGATCCTGAACGAAGAGAAACTATTATATAATCAATTACGCGAAGAATTTTGCATATTGTATAAACAACAGCTGTCTTTGCTCAATACTCAAGGGCAGATGGCCAGGCAGAAAAGATCAGCAACAAGGATCTCTGGCGACGAATGAACCAACCAACAAGAAACCGATTGTGCAACAAATCTGCAGCAAGAAGCGGAGGTGGATTAGCCATACTCTGAGGAAACCATCAAGTGACATAACACACCAAGCCATCGGTCGAGTGGAATTCGAATGGGAAGCAGTGAGTTGGTCGTTAGTGCAAGGGTGTCATGGAGGAGGTCATGTGAAGAGGAGATGAAAGTATGTGGGCAGACATGGTGCCAGGTGGAAACGTTTGCAGAGAACCGAACGCAATGGAGACGCACGGCTGAAGCCCTATGTTCCTTTGAGAATTAAAGGAAACAATAATAAACATTATTTCCAGTATAAAGCTCTTATTACTACTAATGTTGCTTATCGTCTCTAGCCATTTGTTTGTATATAGTCTTATGAAGCATCTGATTTCCAGTGTGAAGCGTGGACACCTGGCGCTATGAGTTTGCATCCTGTTGGAAATGTCTGTGATGACGTGCTTGGTGATTCTCTGAACCTTATTGATACACTAACCTAGCATTTGTGCCAGCCAGTCAGCTATGTATTGTAGGTCACCATATCACACTAAATTCAAAGTAAGAAACTCCACTTTCGCTTACCAGATCCGATTCTAGCTACTTTTGACATCCTGTAGTTGAAATATTGCTGCTGTGGTAATTGGAAGAGAGGACTTGTTTTAGATTTACTCCGGTGATGGTTATTGATGTTTGTTTTTGGTCAAGATATAAGATTTTTCACAGAGAACGAACAAACATTGGTGCAGAATAAAAATGGAAGCATTTTATTTCGTTGGTTCTCATCAGCTGCACAAAACTTGTAATCTTCAATGAAATAATTCACTGTACAATTTTAACATACTTTTGTCACTCAACAGGCGTACTGTAGGAGGGTCATAATGAAATTACATTTCAGGATGATAAGGTATCTGAAGTATTATAGTATATAAATATCTTGTTAGAAAGAAGTGTCTCGAAAATTAACTGACACAGCTCTTGTTAGGGTGGAAATAAAAATTAGCAAGTCACGTAAGATTTTGACTGACAGCCACCACTGTGATCTTTAGGAAAATTGGCATTCAAGCGGATTAATTCTAAACACGTAAGAACAGATTTGAGACAATTATCTTTAAGGAAATGACAGCTTTAACAATCAAACTTAGTCACCTTCACGTATTCATATTCAAATCAATGTTTCACAATTAGTACTTTTCAATTATTAGCTCAGTCATTATGATCAATATTTAATAGTTCACATGTTCGATTCCAAAACCATTTCCTCTCTTGATCATTTTTCACTATACTTGCAGGTTCTTTCATTGTACAGTTTGAATAGTAACCACCAGAGATTAAATTATCTGTCAACACCGTATACAGTGTAGTTTGTGCTCCTTTCCAAGAACTACTTAAAAATGGTTTGATTATTGGCGTAAGAATTTTCTAGAAGAAAACAAACAGAATGTTATTTTGACATTATACTAAGCAATAAATAGATGATTATTATACATAAGATAGGAGTAAGACAAGGCTGCCTACTATTTCCAATGATTTTCCTGATTGCAGTAGATTGGATAATGCGACAAACAGCGGGCAATGAGGAAACAGGCATAAAATGGACTCACACAAAAAACTTGGAGGATCTGGACTTCGCCGATGGCACAGTGGTTAGGACTCTCGCCGACCATGCACATGGTCCGAGGTTCGAGCCCCTGCCGGCGCACACCCGATATCTATGGTCGGCCTGCAAAATTTGGGCTACCGATATCCATGCTGAAAATGCCATACTTGTACTGAAAATACGGTGTGGCATCAAGCTGTAACCAAAATAAAATAAAAATAAAATATCTCTGATTTCCCACAAACTGGAAGATATGCAAACGAAAAAAAACAAGTTGGCAGAAGAAGCATCAAAGATAGGACTTCAGGTAAACATAGAGAAAACAGAGGTGATGAAGATTCCTGGACAAGAACAACAACAACAGACAATGATCAGCATAAATGAAAGGAACCTGAAAGAAACAACCTCCTTCACCAACCGACCTGGGAAGCATCGTTTCAACTACAGGCAAACGGAACTGACGAGGATATCAAAGCAAGAATCGGAAAAGCAAGACAAGCTTTCACTACTCTCAAGTCTGTGTGGAGGTCAACAGCACTAGTCAGCATCAAAAATATCCGGATTTTCAACTCCAATGTGAAGTCAGTGCTACTCACTATACGGATCAGAGACTTGCACTACGCGTCATAAAGAGCATCTCAAACAAACTATAGACCTTCATTAACAGTTGTCTTCGCTCAATACTCAAGACCAGATGGCAAGCCAGAAAAGATCAGAAACAGAGATGTCTAGCGACGAACGAACCAACCAACCAGGAACCGATTGTGAGACAAATAGGCAGGATGAAGTGGAGATGGATTGGCCATACTCTGAAAAAACCATCAAGTGACATCACACAGCAGGCCATCGGTTGAGTGGAACCCGAATGGGAAGCGGTGAGTTGGTCACCAGTGCAAGGGTAATATAGAGGAGGTCATGTGAAGAGGAGATGAAGGCGTGTGGGCAGACATGGAGCCAAGTGAAGACTCTAGTAGAGAACCGAACTCAATGGAGACGCACGGCTGAAGCCCTATGTTCCTCTAGGAATTAAAGGAAACAATAACAATATAATAATTATACATAATGTTATTTGAACTAAGCACCGCAAAATCCAGTGTGTTGTCTAGCCGACTTGAATGTTCCCTATTTGTCATATTTAGTCTATCTGTAATTCATAACACTTTATGAAGCAGTTATTCTATTCGATATATGCCTTGTTTTAGTTCATTAATGGATTAAATTATCCGTTTGAAAGCTTTTTGGATATTCAGTGTACTCATTATATTACTAATTTTTAAGCAACGTGCTATTCGATCAATGACTGAAGAGGTGTTTTGTCGAAAATACAAAAATATCTTGGCTGCATTTGCTGATCGATATCTGATCGTAGACAAATGAACTTTTATTATTGACAGAGCAAATTATAAGCATCCAAGTAAAATGAGAGATTTAGTTTCCTATAGACTATGAAAATAAATTTATGAAATATTTATATTGAAAACACACTGAATCGTTTTTTGTATGAAATAAGGTTTGAAATTCTTTATGGTAATTTGAAATACTCTATGCTGTAATAACTGCATCATAAATACTGAAGACTATTTTACAGATATCATTCGTTTAATTGGTGGATGGTGACTAGCAGTGGAATCCAGGATGCGCATTTCGTCCTATTTGAGACTCATCATCTGGATGTACCTGCATTTCTCAGTGAGTGATGATGTTCCCACCGTTGCACAAGAGATGGCTCTCGTGGCCCAAGTGGTCTAGTGGATAACACTTTGGCGTTCGGAACCATGGTCACTGGGTTCGAGCCTCGGTGGGAACATCATCACTCACTGAGAAATGCAGGTACATCCAGCTGACGAGTCCCAAATAGGACGAAATGCGCATCCTGGATTCCACTGCTAGTCACCATCCACCAATTAAATACTAATTAGATGCCCAGACATCGTCGAAGCATCTGCTCAAGTAGCCGACATGTCAACCTGAGACCGAGCACTTCGGTCCAATCAATCGACGGGAAAATCCAAAATTCAATTAAATTATTTGTTTAAGTTGATTTGTAATTCCCGCTGGTCGATTATATTGAACCGAAAGACTCAGCATTTGTTAAAGTGTTGGCTATTAGTAGGAATAATTTAACAGAATCTGAGGATTAACACGGTGTTATTCGCTTGACGGTGACTAGTAGTGGAATCCAGGATACTGATTTTGTTCAGTTTGGGATTCATCAGGTGGATGTACCTGACTGTTTGGCGACTAGTGGATTATGTATCTACGGAGATTTGAACACAGCGCCTACCATTTCAAACGCCAAAGAATTATCCACTATGCCATCATATTAATCTTCAGAGATTATTGAGTTGTTCACAAAGGCTGAGAAATTCGCGCCAGTATAATCAATCAACTATAAATGCAAATTAACTTAAACAAATGACAACTGATATCCATTGGGCAAGAGATGGTCCTCGTGACCCAGTGACCAAGTGGATAATGCTTTCGAATTTGTAATGATGATTGGCAGGTTCCAGTCTGGGGATGCAGGCACATCCGTCTGATGAGTCACCAATGGAGAGAAGTACGTAACCTGAATTCTCCTCCTAGTCACCATCAAGTGAACAATCGTTTGGCGATACATAAGTATTGATCAGGATTCAGACTACAGTTATAACACAGTAGCTAACTGATAGGCAAACTCAATTTCTCCTCATACCACAACAACCTACCACTTTAGTCGATGAGCAAGTGTTCACCATCTGAGGATAAACAGAAACTAACTATCATGATTTCTAATTAAAGTTTGTAGAAATCTACCTGTAAGGCAGTCAGCAATTGAAAATTATGGATTTCAAAAGATAAGTGACGTAGCAAAATGCCTATGTTGCAGTCCGATGACTTTACCCATCTGAAAGGCAACTCATCGTCTCTTGCAGCTACGAAGAGTTTTCTGACTTCCCAAAATATTTACACATTATAGTCCAGGTTGTAAAAACTTGTCCAACAAACTAAATTAAAATGTAATTTAACAAATTAAATCAGTGGTGCAGTTTTTCACTCAGTTATCTTGTAAAGTTGTTGTATATTATAATCTGGCTGGGTTTCGCACCTATCACCACTCATCAATAGTGCGTATATGTGACCTTCGGAGTCAATTTCATAACGTGTGAGATTCTAACATATGTCTTCAAGTGCCACGCTTGGAGACGTTACCACTGAGATATTTAGGCGCACAGTATTGTTCACCGCCTTGTTTATCCATAAATATCACACATTAGACACTCAAATGTCCAACTTTATTAACGAATTATGGGAAACAAATGCTAACACACTTAACGTAAAACTCCATGACTCCGAAAAATAGTATTTTCTGTCTTATAATGAGTTCAGAAGTATTTTGAATCAGACTTAGCTTATTTCAACGAATAGTGTTTTAAGTTCAATATACTAATTATAATTAAGGTGTAATGTTTATTGAGGAAACGTATATTATATTGATATTAAACGTATATATTGATGACGCCACTACTGGAGAAGGTGTGGAAAGAAGGCAAAGTACCCGAGGATTGGAAGAAAGGATACTTATTCAAACTACCAAAGAAAGGAGACTTAAGTCAATGCAAGAACTGGCGCGGAATTATGCTCCTGTCCATCCAAGCAAAATACTAAGCCGCATCATCCTGGAAAGGATCAAACAAGCCCTGGATGAAAAACTTCGACCGGAACATGCTGGATTCAGGAGAAACAAGTCATGCATTGATCAGATCGCCACATTACGGATCATCATTGAACAAAGCTTGGAGTGGCAGTCACCTCTCTATCTCAACTTCATCGACTTTAAAAAGGCCTTTGACAGCGTCGACTGAGAGGTGATTGGGAAACTACTACGCTACTACGGGGTGCCACCGACAATTATACATCTCATCCAACAGCTATACGACAATGCTGCATGCCAAGTAATCCACAACGGGAAACTTACGGAATCCTTCGAAGTGAGGACAAGAGTAAGACAAGGCTGCCTACTATTTCCAATGATTTTCCTGACTGCAGTAGATTGGATAATGCGACAAACAGTGGGCAATGAGGAAACAGGCATAAAATGGACTCACACAAAAGAACTTGGAGGATCTGGACTTCGCCGATGATATATGTCTGATTTCCCACAAACTGGAAGATATGCAAATGAAAAGTAACAAGTTGGCAGAAGAAGCATCCAGAGAAGATAGGACTTCAGGTGAACATAGAGAAAACAGAGGTGATGAAGATTCCTGGTCAACACCACCAACAGCGACAACAACAGACAACAATCAGCATAAATGAAAGGAACCTGAAAGAAACAACCTCCTTCACCAACCGACCTGGGAAGCATCGTTTCAACTACAGGCAAACGGAACTGACGAGGATATCAAAGCAAGAATCGGAAAAGCAAGACAAGCTTTCACTACTCTCAAGTCTGTGTGGAGGTCAACAGCACTAGTCAGCATCAAAAATATCCGGATTTTCAACTCCAATGTGAAGTCAGTGCTACTCACTATACGGATCAGAGACTTGCACTACGCGTCACAAAGAGCACCTCAAACAAGCTACAGACCTTCATTAACAGATGTCTTCGTTCAATGCTCAAGATCAGATGGCCGGAAAGGATCAGCAACAAAGATCTCTGGGAGCGAACCAACCAGGAACCGATTGTGAAACAAATAGGCAGGAAGAAATGGAGGTGGATTGGCCATACTCTGAGGAAACCATCAAGTGACATCACTAGACAAGCCATTGCTCGAGTGGAACCCGAAAGGGAAGCGACGAATTGGTCGTCCAAGGGTGACCTGGAGGAGATCATGTGAAGAAGAATTGAAAGCGTATGGGCAGACTTGGAGCCAGGTGACGACTCTAGTAGAGAACCGAACGCAAAGGAGACGCATGGCTGAAGCCCTATATTCCTCTAGGAACTAAAGGAAATAATAAATAATAATAAATATTAAAAAAACAGGTAATAGATACTGCAATCATTAGATTCATACCAGCAGATTAGTTGACATTCCTCTTTGAATTTCAGTATATACAAATCCTGGATGAACACTAACCACATCGACACCAGTATCCTTTAAACGTTTACTTAATTCGAAAGCATGCAGAACATTTCCTAGTTTCGAAGCATTGTATGCTGAAAATCCACCTTTATTACATTGTAAATCTGGTTTGTAAATGTTACCATAATAGTGACCCATAGACGAGACAATTATTATTCTTGACGGTGCAGAGGTTTTCAACAGTGGGAGAAGTAATTCAGTGAGTAGAAAATGACCAAAATAATTCACTCCCATGGTTGTCTCAAAGTTATCTTCTGTTTTTTCATAATTATATAATAAAACCCCAGCATTGTTAATTAAATAGTGCAGTCTAGTGAAACGACTAATAATCTTGCCGACAAATTCTCTGATTGACTTCAGTGAAGCTAAATCCAGTAGTTCAATTATTAACTGAAAATAGAAAATAAAACGCAAAGACGGTGTGTTGTTATACTGGTACAGAAATGTCAAAGTGTTGTGAAGATTTAAAAAAACCTATTCTCTAGTGTTTCCAGACTTGTGAGACTTAAAAATGCCGCATGATAAGTGTTAACACACATCAGTAAATAGCTAGTACTAAATCTGCTCATCTGAGTTGAATTTCTAATCGTGAATATCTTGGTATATCGCAGATGTCTTAAATTTTGCTTCGAATAGTGTGCTATACAAGATAAACTCCAGTTGTCAAACCACTGTTGGTATAACGAGTGGTGAATGAAGGTGAAATGAGAATCTAGTAAGCTGAAGGATTCGAAACAGAGGTTTTCGGTTCACCAGTCAGACGATGTATCAGCTCAGCTATGACATCTAACTGATAGACAGCTTATCATTTCAATACAATCACCTCAATAATGCCTATTTTCAATGTGAACTAATGATACGCTACTGTTTATTTGTTATCACAAAAGCCTCCTGTCCATCTCCTGTTAATCTTAATACTACTTAATTTGAAAGACAGGAGAATTCTCTCGTCTATTGGTGAGATTATTTGAGATTGTCTTTGGGTGATTAACTATCAGTGAGATATACATTAGGCAAAATATTGGTTTTACTGTGTAGAAACTCTAAACGATGTCACCTAATACCCTATTTCCATTTGTAACCAGTAATAAACCAGATTACACAAATGATTGACGTGGAATTTACATATATATTTTTTATTTTATTTTATTATAGCTTGATTCCACACCGTACTTTCGGTACAAGTATGAAATTTTCAGCATGTGATATCGGTAGCCCAAATTTATCAGGCCGACCATAGATATCAGGTGTGTGTCGGCGGGGGATCGAATTTCGGCGAGAGTCCTAACCGCTGTGCAACCGACATTATAGCAATTGATTAAACAACTGTTTTGAGATAGTGATGTGTAAGTACTAGGCAAACGTTTTATTGTTCCCTTCTGCACTGCCGTCTACTCGATAACTATACTAATCGTGGTATTCACGCTCATACTGATAAGTAATCTATAACATATATACGAATTTCGGTAAAGAGGCATTATATTTTATCACAAACAAAGCAGCATACGAAGCGCATTTACATTTTTACCAGATGATCACCAGATAGAAAGAACTTGACCCCGCGTACTGAAGTATCAGAAACCACATAGAAAGGAGAGACTCATTACCAATTACAGCAGTACATACAGGGTTTTTGACCATAATAAAACAGGAGTGAAACTCTACACAAATAAGCATGTCTAAAATAAATCTGCACAACATGAGTTAAAGAATTTTTCCAAAGATCGGTAAAGATTGAAAAAGTTGAAAAAATGATAATAAGTACAGTAAAATGAATGTTTTCCTGCTGCAAGTTAATAAACCGAGAAATGAAAATTAGCATAACACTCATATCTAGTCACGCCCTGATTAGATGTTTGTCTCTAGAACTGACGGTCATCAGTCCGTGTCTGTATGAAGACGTGGGTGTGCAATACTGATGAAACAGTCACTGGATACTGAACAGTACCCAGTAGTTAAATAAACTATATTTCCCTGACGGAGAAATGTTCCTAAAAGTAGTTCTATTCTCAACTTTAACTCAGTGTAAAATAAGGTTCGTATTTTTATCATCATCCCCATTATTACCATTATTACCTATTGTATTCTACGAAAGTGGAATAGAACTGCTAGTGACAGTCGTTTAGACGATAGACAAGACAACAGCAGACGCAAATCATACAAATTTTATTCCTCTATAAGACGATTTTCATACTGGTATTGATAAGTGAAGAATTTACTAGGCTACGTCAATGGAATTTTACAAATGTCTTTCATAATAAAATATTATTTTTAAAACAATGCGCCTCCTGGTTCAGTAATTACAATGCCATGTTTACTTTTCCTCTAATTTATACTTGACTGGTAGGAGGATTTCATCATGAGCTGACATCATTTAGAGAACCACTGGAAAACCAACTGGGAGTACTGGACAGTCCACAGTTTCGTCCTAGTTTGGGACTCTGACTCAGCAGTACGCACCCACCACAGGGGTTTGACACCAGAACCTTCTGGTCATAAGGCAAGCTCATAGACTATCAAACTACTGAGATTCGACCCAATGACCCATGAATTCCAACTTCCGCCAATTCACGATCTGGTGCGACCACTAGCCAAAGTCTTCGGCGAGTATTTGTCCTCACCCCTGACCTGCTGTACCCTACTGGTCACCGCCTATTTCGGGACTCTTCATCAGTATCTTTTTTCTTGTGACCATATTTAAAGATAAATGATATTTGGCACAAAGACTGACCACTGAATTTCAACGTCATTTTGATTTCTTCGTTGAAGACTACTAAATAAGTTGAGATTTGTCAAAAAAGAAGTGGGACTGGTATGGATTCAACTGAAAATGAAAACAATAGTCGTTTTTTACTAAAGACAACTTGACTGAAGTGCCTTATGTTGTTCTGTAAAAGCGCTTTCAATTCTTAGTGATAGAGACAATAACAAATTGAGCGAAGAAGTGCATTTGTTTTCAATTACTACCCCATTATCGCATCTACATTATTATAGCTTTTTACATCAAAATTATACCAGTTATGTGGTTATTTTAGTCTATAAGAATTAGTAGTTTTAGGTATAGAGAGGCGGTGAAAATGAAAGATTAAATGTCATCAAAACAATTAACTAGTGGATGACAGCAACAAGATATCTAAATTTGGAAGGAAGGGCTGAAATGATTGTGGAATTCAAGTTCAATTAAACTGTAGGGGTTAGCAACGAGTTATTACATAGTGAAGAAATTTGTAAAATAGTTATGGCTAGGAAGAGTAGAATTAAGTAAGATACAAATAAGTTAGTTGAATTGGCTAGAGTTATAATCATAATGAAATTACAAAGTCAAAAGATAGTTAAGGGAGAAGGAAAAGTCATTTGTTAAACTTAATACATATTATGTTGTTGGCCAAGGCAAAGAAAGGGGCTGTACAAATTTCTTTTGAACACGCAGATTTGGCTTGTGTTCAGATGAATTCCGATTGCTTCTGATGCACGTAAAAATCACACAAATAGAGCACGCGAAAGGTTGAGTGAAATGCGATAAATAACTTTAAAAGTTCTGTTGGAGTCGACTTGCTGTCCAGTATCGGCGAGATGAGGTAGTTCCATTATAGATAAGATTTTATTTTGATAAATCACACAGTGTTGTACAGTAATATTAACTGATGACGTTTCGAGCAGAAATTATTGCTCATAATCATATCAAGTGTGGTCGCCTTGATATGATTATGAGCAATAATTTCTGCTCGAAACGTCATCAGTTAATATTACTGTACAACACTGTGTGATTTATCAAAATAAAATCTTATCTATAACGTAGTTATACTCTACCACAGCGCCTGAGATGAGGTAGTATTGAGCTTTGTATAGCTCTATTCAGACCTTTGTCAAACCAAGTGAATAGGTTAATCAGTCGCCTTGTATTAGTATATGTAGTAGATGTCTCCCGAAAGATTCAATATTTTCTTTTTGAAAACGTTCATTGAAAGTGTTACTAGAACTAATGCACGCGGTGAGTTACGATTATTGTTAATTTTTTGGAAACGAATAAGTACTGCGTTTGAAAATGATTTGACTATGGCTTGTAGATACTTTCCAGGTTTGTATATGCATATATGCAGTTAAAGTTCAAGTGTAATAGTTAGCGAGTAATAAGCAGTACGACCACAATAATAACAAGAATAGTGCTTATATAATTATCTAGACAGTTAGTCATTTCGGATGTATAAGTAGCTTGTGTATGTATACAATGAAAGGGAAGAAAAATAACCTGTCTCATAGCATTTAGATATTACAGTATTTGGCTTTAGTTGCAGTTATTTTGAATCGTTCATATTGAACCAAATTAGTCAGTCTCTGTTTATATGTGAGCTCCTAGCACAGTTGTTCGACAGCTTCTTGAGATGAACACACTGGTGACTGGTGTTAACTGACTGGTGGAAAGACGTTTAAACATAGAGATTTGTGCAAAAATACGTCAGTTAAAGTTACCATACTTCCAAGGAGCACACGAAAAAGTAGAGGAAAAAGAAACGCTGACGTAATGTTAACATTTATTCAGTATGAACGGAATACAATTACTGTAGGTTGAAGTTAAAGGTCTTTAGTAAGGAGGGGATTGAACAGACATTTTCCAAAATACTCAGACCAGGTTAGAAAGTGATTGTAACAAATGTCTTAGTTGTGCTTAATAGTCAAAAACGTACACACCAAGAAAATCATGGTAGTATTTTCAAGTGCCAGTATAGAGCTTATTCTCACTCTCGGGGTGCATTTTCTTAACTACGTTGAATGATGCTTAAAGAAGCGTTAATATGTCTAAGAAGTTATTCTATTTAGAAATGTCGATCCAGCGTATACTATCAAGGTCGATTTCACATGCAGACTTAGATAAATCAAATGAAAACTATGATAACACAGTTAAAGAAAAGCACTATTTTCAAAATACTTGATGACATTAGTTTCAGGAAGTTGTGATGGGGACAATCACTGAGATTACTTTTTTTAAACATTAAAAAATGCGAGAAAACTGTAAATAAATGAAGACATGCAATGTACAGGCTAAAAAGTTTGACATTCGACTACATCTAACAGTTATTTGTTTAGCATACGCCACGAAAAATTTACTTCTCAGTGAAAAGAAAGCTTTTCCTTAAGGATTGTTGAAAACCTTGAATACTGTGTTCGTGGAAAGTATTAAGAACGATGTTGTTGATTTGCAATTCTAAAGTAGTTATTCATTGACAGTAAGTTATGAAATGAAAGAGCAAATCCAATACAAGTAGTTCTAAAATCCTTTTACCTCAAAAACAGATATTTTAAAGGTAGTGGGCTGCGAATTAGTTTCACAAACTTTGTTCTAGTCTAAGAGTGTTTCATATTTTTGTAAAAATAATCATTCTACAATTTGTGAAAATCAGGCCGAGTATAACGAACAGATTAATTTATTAATAAACCACTGAAATGACTTTTAATATTCATAGGAAAGTATAAATCTAGTCAGTCATTTCTAAAGAATAAAAAGATGCGAAACTACCATTATTACTATTATTATCATTTTTCACAGTGCTACTCAGCCTACCTGATCTGCTTCTATTGGTGTCAACGATGAAATCACTTCATTGCACGCCACGTCAATCTTTAAACAGTCAGGATTACTGTCACCATATTTCTCAAGTAATTGATTTTTCGCCTTTTCAGCCCTTTCCATATTACGACATGCCATAATGACTGTTGCTCCACGACGTGCCAGTTCACTAGCTGTGTAAAGACCGATTCCAGTATTGCATCCAGTGACTAAGGCTACTTTTCCATCCAGTCGTTTACATATAGCGCAGGATTTATTCCACAGTCCAACTGTCTCTCTCATGACTTGCAATTAATTATGTAGTGCACTTTTTAAATTTTCTAAAGTATAGAAACTAATTTGTTAAAAATTAGTTGATTAGGTCAACTGCCTAACAAATCACATATTAATGATTTAGTCAGCCAATCACCGCTCATATGAAAAGAACAGTAAAGTAAAATGTTAACAAGCGTCAGTGTGTTATGAGATATTTATTGCATAATAAGTCTATTTCAGTCTATTTCACAGTGTGGAGTTTCAATAGTGGTAATCAGTGTCATAAACAAAGTTGTCACGAAACCTACTCTTGCCCATAAAAAGTTGAAATCAATGGTGTTTAATTTAAAGCAAGATAATTCCATTACGGTACATCGGTGGTTCAGTGACGGAATACTTGCCAACCACCCAAGTGGTCCAGGTTTAGATTCCTGTCCGATCTACTCCTTAACCTCACTTAGCCAGCAGTAAGCCTGGTGAAGAGAGCAAGTTAGGCGTAAAGCTGGTAGCCCCACCACTGCTACAGAATCCTCAGAGCTGAAGCTTGAAGCCTTATGCTCCACTGGAAACTCAAAGAGATAAAATAATTAATAGTAAATTCCATAACGGATTCTGATATTTTAGAGATAAATCAAGTTTAGAAAGCGAAAGGATTGAGCGAAGAAATATCCACTTTTCAATTAGATCCTCATCTCTGGCTCTACTCTAATATATACGGCATTTTTATTACGATACACCATAATTTACCAATCAAGTGGCGATATGTTTGTTAACAATAATTAGTCAGTGTCAACGTGTCAATGGGGTGATAATTAACGAAGAAAATTAATGCAAACAATTAAAAGGTAGAAATGGTTGGAACACATGGATTGCGTGATGCATAATTTTGGAAAAATGAGGAGTAATTAGGGAATAAGTGTGTGCTCAAGTTGATTACGTAACAGATCGTTAAAGAAAATAGAATTAAATGTTGTCACTGTCCAAATTATTCTATTATTTTTCTGACTACTTCATCTTTAGTTACAAGCCATCATTGTCCAAATCGTTTTATTTTCCTTAACAATCTGTTACGTGATCAACCTGAGCACACGCTTATTCCTTAATTTCTTACTCCTCATTTTTCCAAAATAACGCATTACGTAATCCATGTGTTTCAACCATTTCTACCTTTTAATTGTGTGCATTAATTTTCTTCGTTATTATCACCCCATTGACATGTTGACACTGACTAATTATTGTTAACAAACATATCGCCACTCAGTTGGTAAATTGTTGTGTATTGTAACAAAAATGATATATATGTATTAGAGTAGAGCCAGAGATGAGGATCTAATTGCAAAGTAGACATTTCTTCACTCAATTCTTTTGTTTCTCAATGTCTAAATGGGGATTTTTTCTGTATTGAAATCATGTTAATTCTAATAATCCCTACGCTACTGAATATACGCCCGTACATTAACAGTTCAGCATCAAATCCAACAACATATAAACCGTTTCTTCGTCAGTGAACTAGCCAGTCCTCACCCTTTGTCATTGACTTTAACATTCAACCGACTTTTCGTTGAAAAATGCCGTCGCACTGATTTGACCGCTTAAAAACAAGTGTTTGCCACATCGTGTGAATGAGCACAGTTTGAGCAATCATCCCCTAAAATGTCCAGAGAAACAAAACTCAATAAAACTAATTATTCAGAAAGAGAAAGTTTGAGGTCTCTAAACATGTGATACTATATCATATGACATATTTATCTATATTAAAAAAATCATGTAAAAAGTGAAATGATCACGTGTGCAACAGTCTAATTACTGTATTCACATCTCAAATCTAAGCCTCAAGACAGAAAATTTTATAAGATGTGTGTTAACTGAACAAACAAACAAACAAACTAATATATATATACTAGTAGAAAGTGTATGCGTAGGGAGAGGAACAATAACTTGTGTCATAGTAATCAGATATTGCAGTTTTTAATTTTATTTGTTGCAGTTATCTTGAATTGCTGATACTGGACCGTAATAGTCCAGTCTCTCTTTAACTATTCAATTCCACAACTTAAATGCTTCAGTATCACAAGGATATTAGAATTGTCCAGATATCTGGGATAGGTACTGAGTTGTTCCTGTTACGCATTGTCTCAATTAATTCGATTAATAATACTTCAGTAATCCATCTCTGTCCGTCGTACTACATTAAATTCTAATACCCTCACTTTGTCCCATCCCATCTTCATGATTGTATGTGAGTCTAAGTTCGTCGGTGGCACAGTGGTTAGGACGCTCGCCAACCATGCACATGGTCCGGGGTTTGATCCCCGGCCGACACACGCTTCCCTTACCTAGCTAAGCCAGAAATAAATCTGGTAAAGAGAGAAGGTTGAGCATGAGGCTAGCAACCCCATCCTGTAAAAATAAACACTGCTACAGAAACTTCAAGCCTCTAGCCTGAAGCCCCATGTTCAACTGGGAAAGTGAAGGAATAAAAAAATGTGGGTTACTGCTTTTTCTCGCAAATTTCGCTAGTTCTTTTTTATGCTAGTCTAACTGAACTCCGCCTACTACTTCGACCTGTGTATTTAACTTCGAAATCATTGTAGCATACTAGATAAACTATTTTCTTTAATGAGTTCCACAGGACATAGTTTGTTCTTAACTAACATTTCCAAGTGGCAGCGAAACTTTATGCTGATAATATCTGGCCAACCGACTTAATTACTTTGATTAAATTGCAGATCATCTGTGTTTGTCTATGGGAAATATATGAAAAAAGATATAGAAGAAGGCTACATGTTGAAATTTGAAAGATATTTTATCAAATTTTATCGAACGATGTTGTCGGCGTGATGATATCATTGGCTGTCGTACACGGTGAATGTTGCTCATCGCCTATTCCGCGGAATAATCAGTTCTAATTAAAAACGTCTAACTTAGATCTGCAAAAGATAAATAGATGACCAAAAGTACATAATGATAATTCTGTACTGAATACAAAAGAACTTCCCAGAATAAGACTATTATCATTAGTAAGAACTGTGTGATCTCCTAACTCTGTGATGCCATGAAGGCAATTATTCCGTGGCCTAAACCTGTTATTCCACTATTCATGAAATCAAAATTGTTTATTCCCCCTAATCAAGGTGAGGCAGTAACTCATCGAAGAAGGCATTACGACAAGTAGTCACGCTATGTCATGAATTGGCAGAAATTAGAATTCATGCACTGGCTGGCCACTGGATCGGATCGCGGTGGTTACTGGTCTACAAGATAGCTGGCCTTGTAACCAAAAGGTCGTGGGTTCGAACCCTGGAGGTGGGTGCGTACTGATGGAGAGTTTCAAACTAGGACGAAACAGTTGGCTGTCCAGTACTCCCAGTTGGTTTTCCAATAGTTCCCTAAGTGATGTCAGCTCATGATGAAATTCTCCAACCAATATAGGCTCTTTTTACTTGCCAGATGATGGATAATAGTGGAAACCAGAGCATGTGTCTCGTCCTCTCTGGGACTAGTTAGCTGGATGTACCTTTATCCTGACTGAGTGATGCCCCTACCTGGGATCAATTCAAATACTCATAGTTTCAAATACAAGAGAGCCATCCGTTAGACCACTGGGCCACAACAGTAAACCCTTGTGTAAAAGGTACCAAGCCTTTCTGTCCAGTAGAATCAGTCAGTAAGAAATAAAATTAAGTATTCGCATAAGATAGAAATACTTCAGAGAAAGAGACAAAGCCACTACAAATTCTCAAATCAATGACTACACCTCTTAGTTAAAAACTACAAGCAAATTTTTGGTTTAGATTTTATACCACTTAAAACCAACAATAAAATGTCAGTTCACTATTACATTGAGCAATCGGTTCTCCTTTCTAAAATTTACAAACACCACATGTCATTCAGATGTTGTGATGTGCGGTGATTTATTTTAAAATCTTATGACAAAACGTTTCACAGTAAGTGAGATGATTACTCAAGTCATGGGGTTCAGATAAACATTGTAAACAATTTTATCTGAATACCATCTGTGGGTCAATGAAAATACAGCCACCAAGACAGACTGCTCTCAGCTGCAGCTTGAGGACAATTATCAACTATAAGCACCAACTCAAAGGAATGCGAAATTCACCAAACTTTATCAAATCTCGAAAGATGAGAGAGGTATGTCCATGGAAACCTGAAAATACGCGTAAGTATCTGTCTTCAGTTATTTGAGAAGTATATACCTCACAAGTCTATTCTTTTGATTTAAAAAGATTACAAATTAGTACAATTCAGACAAGAAAACTCTAAGTCACTGCTTCATGAAACAGTGATTCAGTTTGGGTGAAATACCAGCTGAAAACAATTCATCAGAACGGAGGAAAATAAAAGGTTAACTCTCAATGGGAGTTTGTTCAATGCTTAACGGAGAGAAGTCTAACCTAATGCATACACATATGACTACATTCAAAGGAAAGTCAGGTAAACAGTTTAATCAATGTGTGGAGCAGGTGAAATCAACATAATAATAAATAAAAATGTCAAAGTAATCAAATACGCCTAAAAGGTCAGTCAAATGAGGAGTGTTTTATTCAACAACTAAACACTGTTTTTCCATAATAGTTTGTTTATTAGATGTATCACGCAGTGAAACAGTATTATTTACTGAATGATGAAGGCCTAACCTGACAAAACCAGAAAAAGAAGCCCTGAAACACCTTTAAGAATAACAAGGATATAGTAATCACAAGGTCAGACAAAGGAAATGCAACAGTAGTATTAGAGAAATCAGACTATTTGGACAAGGTAAATACTCACATATAAACAGGACCATATGAGGAAATTAATAAATCAATAGACACAGTTATGAATAAAGTTGATCCAGTAAATAATACTGTTTCACTGTGTGATACATCTAATAAACAAACTAATGTGGAATAACTTACTACCACAGTGCCCAAGTCTTACACATATATTAATATGACTTATGGTCTTCCTGTACGAAGTTATACAGTAATATTTACTGATGACGTTTCGAGCACAATTTATTGCTCATAATCATATCAACTTGATATAATTGTGAGCAATAAATTGTGCT